GGGATCCGAACCCGGGGCCTTGGTGTTCTCAGCACCACACTCTCCCGAGTGAGCCACGGGCAAGCCCCCCTGTATTATTTTTTAATTCTATTTTTCCACAAACTTTTTGAAGTCCCATCATATGCATAGGTATTTGATTTTCCTGACTATTAAGATAATACATGTTCAATATTGAATATTAGATGAAGTCTAAAGAATATAGAAATCATATGTAAGCCTACCGTTAGAGTTAGCCACTGTTAACATTTTAGGATTTTTTTTTTATTGAATCATAATTGATTATACATATTTTTGGTATTCAGTGTTGATGTTAATATTACATTGTTTGTAACTTGCTTTTTTCACTTAATGTGAGTGAACATTTCCTTCTGTCATTGAACATCACAAACCTGATTTTTAAAATGGCTGCCCAGTCATCATTGATATGATTAACATAATTTATGTAGTTCCCTTACATTTTTGGTCATAACTGTGGGGATGGTGTTTTGTTGTCTTGTTTTGTTTCCTCTTTTAGATTGTGCTGCACTATATTAAAGGTATATTTCTGAGATCTTTATAATATTTCTTCCATTCACCCTGCTTATATTCCCCTCCCTTGAACAAACTTCCCTGAAGTACTGAGTGTGGAAAGGGGATGGTAAGAGTACGGGTAGTCTTGGAAATGGTCCTAAAGGAAGTGAAATAAACCCTATTTCTAGTATTGCCAGTTGCTAAGTGCCNGAAATGGTCCTAAAGGAAGTGAAATAAACCCTATTTCTAGTATTGCCAGTTGCTAAGTGCCCCCTTTTTACAGATTTCCTGGCTAAACTGTTCAGTGATGTTTAACAGATATATTACTTATATATGCCCACCCCTCTAGGCTCAGGCAAAGCAACGAGCTGGCAGAGCTGGGAGAACAGGCCCAGGAAAGTGTTATAGGCTGTACACGGAACGTGCCTACCGAGATGAAATGCTGACCACCAATGTGCCAGAAATCCAGAGGACCAACTTGGCAAGCACAGTGCTGTCTCTCAAGGTAGAAATCACTATCTTGTTAGAATGGGTTGGTGGAACAGTCCAATCCTACGGCCTCAGTAAATGAATCTCAGTTTTATGAACCTTTTTAAATACTTTAGTAACCTCATGGAACTGGTCCCTTTGAGTGAAATGCAAATGACTGTGATAACACAGCGCTCCTCCTGGGCTCTGGGGCTAAGCTGGCATATCAGCTGTGAACACGCATTTTTTTCTTACCATAATAACCAGCAGGATATTTGGTTGTAAAAGGTTTTAGTTAGGAGCATTTTCTAAAAGGAAATTAGAAAAATATAATCAGTGCCAAACTGTGGACACACCCACTTAACTTCAACCACGTTAGCTTTCAGATTCAATTCAGTTCTTTTAGAATGGGAGAAAAACTCCCTATCCAAAAACTTTGCAAGGGAAGTATCAGTACAGATTTCAGACTGGCCCTCTGGGGACTTGGTTTTCATTCTGCATCATTGCTCTTTCTCTCTCAGTCCCCAGTGAGGACATTCATTCCCTTTTGGCGGAGGAGCTGCATGAGTAATTTCCCAGCTGATGACATTTCCCCCGGCACTGAAGCTACCCTGGAACCCTGGCACTTTACTGGTGCAGAGTGCTCTGTTGTCATTTATTATTCATTCCCTGTAAGAGATGCTAAAACAAAGCTTCAGAAAAAGACCTGCTCCAGTCTCTGGAGTGCCAACAGAGAGGCATCTGTGGCTCAGACTTCAACTCTGAGCTCTGTGACCTTGGGCAGGTTTATCTACTTTACCCTGTTCTCTGTGTTCTCATCTCAAAAAGGGGGCTGTTAATAGTATCTGTTTTATTTTTATTTATTTTTTATAAAGATGACTGGTAAGGGGATCTTAACCCTTG